GAAAGATTTTGCCTTGAATGGAAATGTATTAAACAGAAAAGTAGCCATGGCAAGATCCACGGACAGACACATGTGAAGGGTGAATTCAGCAATAAAATGTAATCACCATAACACATAATGTCAAGAACTACCTGCTTTCTCCCAGACTTTTCTAGAAAAAAAGAATAGCTCCACAATTCCTGTATCAAGCTGGAAGCTGGAAACAGTGCTTGTGGGAATAAGACACTGCAGTCAGCCTGAGTCGTGGGGTCCACTCTTAGTCAGTGATTTCTCCCTTGTGTCTCATGGTTCCAAGCATGACCATGCAGAAATGTCTTGTAGCTTGGGCTCCCACGCATTGGTGGCAACTTGAAGCAAGGTTTTCTCAGTAACTACAAATATTAAATAGTTTTGGCAAGTGGCCAATAATGCTTTTTCATATGCATTAATATCCAGCACAAAAGGTCATACTCATCATTTGCAGAAAAAAATAATCTCATTTGGTTGGAAGGTGGAGTCTGGACACACTTGAAGACAGGCTGCTTGGGCTTGAAGAGAAGTGAAAAAATACCTGTATTACAGTACAAACCAATTGAGGGTGATATTGCCACTGCCTGGCCAGGGTCCCACCCAAACCAGCTTCCCCCTGGAAGCACAGTAACTGCAACTCTTTCATGAGGCATATCTGCAAGAAGGGCTGGAAGGAGGATCTGGGGAACTACATGCCCTCAGTGTGACCTCAGTGCCAGGGAACACTATGGAGCCGATCATCCTGAGTGACATCACCTGACATGTACAGGACAACCAGGGTATCAGGCCCAGCCAGGAAGGATTTATGAAACGCAGGTCCTGCTTGACCAACCTGATCTTCTATGACAAGGTGACCCACTTAGTGGATGCAGGAAAGGCTGTGATGTCTGCCTAGACATTAGCAAAGCCTTTGGCACTGCACCTTTCACATCATTCTCCTGGAAAAATTGGGTGTTTGTGGCTTGGACACGTGCACTCTTCACTGGATAAAAATCTGGCTGGGTAAGAATGGTGGTGAGTAGAGTTAAATCCAGTTACCAGTGGTGTTCCCCAGTCCCAGTACTGGGGCCAGTATTTTCTGCCCAGTGGAATAGGACCTGGGGGTGTTGGTTGACAGACAGCTGAGTTACCATCCCTGGAGGGATTTAAAGGACATGTAGTGTGGCACTTGTGGATAAGGATTACTGGTGGCCTTGGCAGTGCTGGGCTAGTGATTGGACTCAATGATCTTAAACACTTTTCCAACCTAAACAATTCTATGGTTCTATAAAGGGAATTGCTTGCATGGCTGAGTCCACTGCTATAAATAAGGTGCTCCAAATTCTTGCACCTTCCCTTTGGTCAAGATCTATGTAGAAGGTGATTGGTTAAATTAGGGGGAAAAAAAAATCCCAATTGACTTTCTAGCAGCTACTCTGAATCTTGGATAACGTTTTTTTTTCTTTACAGCCTGTCCCCACTGACATTTACAGCTATGCCTGAGATGAGTAAATGATACGAAGGTAGGTAAAACTTGCTGAACATCAAATGTTTTGTACTGGAAATGATATCTGGTTTCTGCAGCTTATCTATCTGATTTCTTGATTTCACTTTTTTTTCTAGGCAAGTTTAGGTCTCATCTGCATGGAAATGACAAGGGGAAACCAGGGCTTAGTTCTCAGTCTCAGCAGAGCCTTTTTTCAGAAGCTCCCATAAATGTTCTTTTAAAATAAAAGAATAGCAAACCTGTAAGCTGGGAAGTAAATCCTGAATCTCTCCACAGGCTGCCTGCCTGTGTTAGGATCACTTATAGCTCAGTTTTATTTTTCTGTTAATTCCTTGGCAGATGATTCTAACACAAATCAATAAAATAAAAAAATAAATCAAACGTGTTAGAAGATGGTTCATCTCTGTAGACGAAACAGCCACCTCCAACTTCTGTTTTGAATAAATTCAGATTTCAACTGCAGTGGCCTGGCTTATTTCCAGTTTACAGTTATTCTATTCTACTTACCTGAAATTCTCTCTTTCATGCAACTCTGATGAAATATTTGTCATCTCTCAACTGCCTGCAAGGGTTGCAAAGTGCTTCATGAACAAGAGTGCTTACGTAGGGACAAGTAAAGTGATTTCTTTATAGGTAGTGATAAAATTTTCAAGAGCATTCTCCACTGGCACAAATCTGTTTCTCTGGAAGAAACATGGAATTTCTACAGATTCTGGTGGGAGCTGATTTAAGCAGACATGGGTTCTTTTATACATCCCAGTTCTCCCCTAGCATATTCTGTATGGAAACATTGAAGCCATTTACATGAAAACTTGGCTGGAAAGACAACATTTAAGCACAAGAATAAAAATTAAGATGGAAAAGTTGGTATTTAATGAAATTAAATCAGTGAGGGTATACTGATAATAAGGATAAAGGAAATTTTATTTTCACCATGATGGTTTGTTTCTAGTTTCCTTTGATTCCTTTTTGCCGAAAGTTCTTCTGGAAGAGAAGTAGCTTTAAGTGTCCTGTGAAAGTAAAGGAGCAGAGAAGTGAAGTTAAAATGCTCCTTGTATTTCAAGTAGAGCTTCAGTACAGCTGTTTGGCAGGCACCGTAAATTCCACATTTCATTTCAAAGCTCAGATGCTGCTTTTGTAAACTTACCTCCTCTGTTGCTCCAAAACAGCAGCAAACCCCAACACCTTCCTATCCAGATACAATGCATTACTAACTGAATCCAGCCCAGAAGCTGCTGTGAAATGTTTGTGTCTTCTGAATGTGCTAATCTCTGGTGAGGAGTCGGAAAGTGGAAGCCCCATTCCTCTTTATTCCAGCAGCAGTTTAATGACCAGAAGAGTATTCTTAACCCTGTACCCACAGGATGGTTTTTTTTTTGGGGTTTTTTTTTTTTTTTTGCATTATTCAGGTATTTTGCAGTCCTACAACAAAGTAAGAAATGTCATAAATATGAAGTGACACCTCATAAAACTGTATTTTTTTTAGAGTGGCAGTTTGGGATGATGCTCATGTTTTTTTTTCCAGTAGGACAGTGGCAAGACAAACTGATGCTCAATCAAAAGTAAGAGTAAGAAATTAAATAACTGCAAGTGTCTTATTCATCAAAATACTAAGGATCTTCTGCAGATAGAAGAAAAAACCCAAAACTGCACTCCAAATGATATAAGAAGCTGACAAATAAGAAGAGGTTCATTAATCATTGTGGTCTAGCCTCATTTAACGGGAAGAAGCCAGGGGGCTTTGCTAACACATGAAACTGGAACTCAAAGGTGACATATTTTTCAGTTTTTGTGGATGGATCTACACCTCCTGGTTTATTTTGGAGGATGGGGTTGCAGTTACAAATTCTTCAACAACATCTTGCTTCTGTTCTTAAGCAATATCTAAAATAGGAAGCACACCAAAAGGCAAATAAAACGAATGTATTTTTAAAATTAGATACCCTGTCTAATAAAAGGCAGAACTTTTATGTTATTCACAGCTGCAAGTTCTCCTGATTTACAGTTCAGATACAATTAACAGTTTCATTTCACATTCTCTTTCCTCATAAGTGAATATCTGAATCACATGCCGGAAAAAAGCAACTGCAGACCACTTCTATAAACCCAGATGCAAGGGGTAATAATAAAAAAAAAAAAAAAAAAAAAAAGAGAGAGAAAAGCCTTGCTTTGTCTAACAGAATGGGGCTTTTTTTCCCCCAAGAAACCTTCAAACACCTAAAGCCCTCCATCAAATAGGATTTACACACTTACCGTCTTTCCAAACTCCCTCGTGCAAGATTTTTGGGGCATTTTACCCAGGGCTTTGCAGAACAAAGAGCTTTGGCATCTACCCTGCCTGCACAGTGCTACCTGCCCCTATCCCACATATACTCAACACCCAATCATTCTTCTTCCCACTCTGAACTCAAAAGCAATAGAAAACCTGAACCCTTGGTCCCCGTTCAATGGCTGGCACTGGTGCTATCTGGCAGCACTGCTCCTCTCATGGTTAGAAGCCAAGCAAATATGTATTTAACGGGAATTATGAAAATCGAAAAAGTGCAAGGCCCAAATTTTTGAAAAACACATTCTTCCTGCACATCAAAGGGCTCATTGATTTGTTGCTGAAGTCATGACCAAAGTGGTGCTAAGAGGGTGAAAAGGGGAGAAAAGATCAAATCTAATCTTCGGAGCTGTGTCAAGCAAGAACCTTATGGCCCATCCGAAGCTGATCATGAGACAAGTCCTGAATGTAAATATTATTTAATATGTCTGGCAAATGTTAGGAATCTGTCTGAGCATATTCTTCAGGTGAGAAATAGCTCTCCTTTTCCTTTGCTCCCTTTTCTCTGTCCTTGAACTTTGTATCCCTTGAAATCCCAAGCAACTATTCACATTAATAAAGTGTTAAGGTGTTTGACCAAGATTGGCTCTGCTGATTTCAGCACTTAAAAAGGGAAACCGCTCTGTTGTTTTAACCACTTCAACACTCACCATCTCAGTTTATTTTCTTATCCTCTTTAACTTCTGTTAAAATCAAACAGGAAGCAATTAAGGTGAGCCTACTACAAAGCAGCCCTCAAAGTACATGGCTATGTCCCTAGTGCAGAATGAAGGTCATGCCCTGAAAATGTAATTATATGTATGTGAAAGGAATGCAGAGCCTACATACTGGGCTGATCAGTGAGAAAATACACCACTCCAGCTTTAGTTTCAGCAGGCAGATGACCATGACCAACACAGGCATTGCTACCACACCTGCATGGAGGACCTTGCATGGTGGCAAGGCAAATTGAATTGACAGGGCACATTGGACCAACAATTTTACCCACTTGAATTAGAGATGGAGTGGGAGCAAGAAACTAGTCCCTGCTAAGCTGTGTGCAAAACTATCACCACTTCCCCACATCCAACCCCCCTTTAACTTCAGTCAGGTCACTGCCAGGATGACAGAAAAAGGAATGTCATGGAAATAGACATCTAATGACAACAGTGGGAGACAAAGTGAAGTCTTTACACAGGATTTAGCTAATTATATTTTGGGCAAATATTTATTTATCTAAAAACAAAATAAAAATCATTTTGAAAAGGAAAAAAGTACTTAAATAAAAAACAAAATTGTGAAATGTTATGGCACAGAAGTTCAAGACAAGTATAAATCCAGTTGCCACAACTGTTGCGTATTAATGTTGCACATTTTTCTATAAAGGCTTTATTAAAGGTATTTACATGGCAATATGATGTGTAAATATATACAGCAAACTGGGGACAACTTTTTTCTTTTGGATTTTCGTATGAAAAAATGCCTTAAATACAAAATTTTAAAAGAAAAAAAAAATTGAAGAGTTCATCCCCAAGCATGAACAATGTCCCATCATCCCTTATGTCCAAAGTATCAATTATGAGGCAGTTTTGAGGTTCTGGCCAAACCCCTGGGAGATTCAGCCAAGGTTGTGTAGTCTCAAGTTAAATCGCACGGCATGCAGTTGCAATAGTTCCATACTCGATGGACCGCGTAGTTCATGAGAGATATTAGAATCATTAATATTTTATCATAGTTTGTCTAGTTTGCATTATTCTAAGTGATGCTCAAGAGTTCCTATGCACAACAGTTCCTTAGCTGCTCAAGTTTGTGTTTCAACTGTTCTCTCCTCCGCCTCAACTGCTCTTTCTCTGCAATCAGTCTGTGTTCCTCCGACTGGATGGAAAGAACGTACTCTGTCGCTTTTTTCAGGATGACAACCTTGGGAGCCTTTTCATTGTTGGCCACCTCGGGTATCTCGTCACGCAAGGCAAAGAAACTCAATTTCAGCTCATTTCTCCTCTGGCGCTCCAAGACGTTGTGTGTTCGCCTCTTGTCGTTCTCTTCCGAATCTGACGTGCGCGGACTGGAGCATTTTCGGTTGTTGCTGATCTGTTTGAGAACTCTGCCACTGTCCAACCTTAGCCTTTTTGCAGCTGGGTATTCAACCTTGGTGGAGGGAGGAGCGGCATAATTGTGCTGATGGATGTTGACATGACACCGTTTGAGAACCAGCGGGCTTTGGTGGGGCTTACTGTGCTCTTCTGACGTCTCTGTGCTGCTGGACTCTGTGCTGGATTCATATTCATTTGCTTCAGCTAATGTAACAACATCAATTTCCTCATCTTCCTCTTGTTCTTCTTCTGCCATAAAAAAAAAATTAAAAAATCACAACTTGTATGTAGGCACTCTCAAGACTACTGTATGTAAAGGGAAGGTTACTCTGAGTTGCACAATGAGGAACCCAATGACAAACCCTTCTTAAATCTATTTCATGATGCTGGACACAGCTTTCCCCAAGAGCCTTCCCTTTAAGGAAGCAATGCTTCAAGTGCAATAGGACGCATGGACTGCAGTCCAAACCCTGGCTCACTGATTTCAAAAAGTTGTAATGATCTTGCGTAATGTCGAGTGCATGAAAGATAGTAGGAAAGTTTAACCTCGGTTGTCAGCAGTACAGCGCAATAAAGCTCCCAGACTCAAGCTGCCCTTAATTATGGATTTAGAAGGCTTTAGCCACGCCTTATGAAGGAAAGCTTACTTAACACACATGGGTATTCAGAGACATTTTCTGAATCTCTCTTGATCTGTTAATTTGTGGAAAATAGGTGGGAGTTTGGGGGAAAAAAAAAAAAAAAACTAGTTTAAAAAAAGGAAAAAAGGAAGGCTGTAGAGCTTTGGGTAGGAACTCACTTTCAAACCAGATTTACGAGGGAGCGGAACCCGCTGTCACATACCTAAGGAAGCATTTCTAAAACTTTCCCAGCCCCATTCACTCCACTGCAGTCACTTTCACTAGCACCTCCCTGACTGCACATTCTCCCCGCGGCTCTCGGGCTGGAGTTAACTCCTTCCCAGCCCACGGATGAAACCGGGAGCCAGCCTTATCGGGACCCCATGATGAAAGTTTATCCCTCCTACACTTTCTTTATATTTTTTTCCCCCCGCTTTTCACTCCCTTATTCCCCGGAGGAAAAACTGGGCTGGTTTTCCAGGAAATAAGCTGGCTAGGACTCTCCGTGCCTCGCAAACGTGGCATTTA